CCCCCGCTCTTCCATTTCCAGCTCCCCTCCAGCTTAGCTCTTGCTTACTGGAAGCTGCAGCCAGGCTCTGAACTCTTGCCCTAGAGATTTTATCCCCAATATCCCCAAATATAGCAAACCATCCACAACCAAAACCCACCTCAAATTCCAATCTTCTCAACAACCTCATCCAAAGTTGCCTTGGTCCTGCCCGAGCCAGCCGGGAGGCCAGGCTGAGTGCCAGCGTTGTGCCAACACGATGTGTTGGACTGAGCTAAACCCCAAACGCTAATGGAAAAGCCAATACAAAACTCAATGGCTACAGCATTAAAATAAAGGAATGCAAAAAACAACACTTTAAATGGGGCCCAGGCCTTGTTACACACCTCATTTCCTTTTTTAAATGAAAAGCTTTGAGAGTGCTGATAAATAACCGCCAGGCTGCACCAATATCATTAGTTCTGGGTAAGGTATTGGACTTCATAGCACTCAGCTTCCTGCTCAAAACACCAATGTTTTGTCACAGCAGCAAGCATGATTCAATGAATGAAATACTTGTGAACAGACAAACCTCTAAATTACTTGGCAAAATGGAGAAGTATGAAGACATGGGGGTATTTTTAGCGGGCACATCTGCAAGTTCTTGTTAATACCTATTTTCACCATCAACCTGGAAATAAGCATAAAATTCAGTGGTAGTAGCGAAGCTTATGGATGCCACAAAAAGTAGGAAACTACAAATAACTCTGAAGAGAGAAGAGCGAGACTGAATAATCTCAGCTGCTTGGTGACCAGGGTGTAAAAGCAGTTGTACATTTAGAAGCCAAGTTGCTCTTCCAAAAAAGTGGGTATCTCGGAGGGCACAAACTCAAAAGAGGACCCAGCAGATGAGCAACACAAATCCCAAGAGCCACGCTCCAAATGGGAAAGGCTGCAGCAATTTTTAGGTGCAAGGAGAGATGAGCAAGAAGTATTTCCAGAACCTGAGGCCACCTCTGTCTGTGCATCACGGCTGAGCTGAGGCTGGGCAGCAGGTCCAGAGAGCGACCCTGCCGGGGGGATGCTGCATGAGCCCAGCTCAGCTCCTGCTCCTGTGGGGCAGCTGTGCTGGAGAGGCCCCTGCAAAGGCACCCAGCACCATCCCTCCCTCTCCTTATAGAATCATTAAGGTTGGAAAAGATCTCTAGGATCATCAAGTCCAACTGTCAACCCAACACCATGCCCCCTAAACCATGTCCCGAAGTGCCACATCCACACGTTTTTTGCACACGTCCCGTGATGGTGACTCCCCCACCTCCCTGGGCAGCCTGTTCCAATGCCTGACCACCCTCTCAGTAAAGAAATTTTCCCTAATATCCAATCTAAACCTCCCCTGGCGCAACTTGAGGCCATTTCCTCTTGTCCTATCGCTGGTTACTTGGGAGAAGACACCAACACCCACCTCACCACAACCCCCTTTCAGGTAGTTGTAGAGAGCGATAAGGTCTCCCCTCAGCCTCCTCTTCTCCAGACTGACCACCCCCAGTTCCCTCAGCCGCTCCTCATCAGACTTGGGCTCCAGACCCCTCACCAGCTTCGTTGCCCTTCTCTGGACATGCTCCAGCACCTCAGCATCCTGCTTGTAGTGAGGGGCCCAAAACTGAACACAGGATTCGAGGGGCGGCCTCACCAGTGCCGAGTACAGGGGCACGATCCCTGCCCTGCTCCTGCTGGCCACACTATTGCTGATACAGGCCAGGTCCCCTTGCACCGTCAGAAATTCAGACTTCCAGACGTGCCCCGTGCCAAGCTTCCCCCAGCAATAGTGTGGCCCTTGCCGATTCCCCTGCCCTGCGCTGGGACATTTGCACAGCAGCCAAGGCCACTGACCCTCAGCACCCAGCCTAACACCACAGGCCAAAAGAAATCAGACCATGGTGACTTACTCTCTCCTTTACTCTTTAAAGCCCTGAAGTAACACACACTGCACTTTTCCAAGCACTCGAGCAGAAACAGGAAGAATGCTAAAGTGGTTTTGGTAAGCACACTTTTAAGTTTATTGACCTATACAAAATAATAGGTCTAAAAAATTCAGAAGTAGTAAAAGAATAAGCAAAAAGAGCTTTCGCATTTCTAGAAGGCTATACAAATATGCAAAACCAAGGAAATAAGTTATTTTTTTATTTTGTTTTTGTTTGTTTAATTCCAAATCGCAACTCTAATAATACAAACGACTAAGTACCAGCTTAACAAGTGTGTCCTTCTGTATATATTACATGCTCTGGAATATTGGTAAAAAACGTCAAAAAAGTTTATCAGAAACTTTTCTATTCACAATATGAACAAGGAGTAACTAATCCTTTGTATAAAAGAAAAAGAGCACCATTTACGGAGTCCTGAAGCACAGTACAGCTGAGAAACGAGAGAGATTTTACCGTATGCAAACGAGCCATCGGGAATCACGCAAGATAACCCATGCTAATTTGTTCCTACAGATGGATGACGTGAGGTAGGTTTATCCCTCTTAGACCAAGAC